AGGAAGGAACGAACGAACGAAAGAACGAAGGAAGGAAGGAAGGAGAAAAAAGATAACTAATAAATTTTGAAGGAAAAAAGGTAGGAAAGTTTTATGAAAAGTTTCATTAACACACTTCTGAGAAATCTCCTGGATGCTCTTTTCTAGATTATGTTTTCTGATGATAAAATAATAGCAGTGACAGCTGACCATGCTTGCTGCAGGCCTTTTATTAGAATTAAAAGAATTGTAATTATGAAGAAAAAAAATCTATAAAACTATTTTTGAGTTCTAGCAAAGAAATAGAAATTAGAACACCATATATCAGAAGTTACTAAATCCTAATGCTCTATTACACTTGACTTTTGACTTTGACACTTTTGAAGATAACGGGCTAGTTTTCTGTAGACTGTACCTCAATTGGGGTTTGTTGGTGTTTCCTCATGAATAGATTCAGTACTATCCTTTCGGCAGGAATACCACAGGAAGGGGGCTGTATTCTTTGTATCTGGTGTCCCACTGCTGATGATGTTCAGTTTGATCATTCCATTAAGGTGGTGTCTGCCAGCCTTCTCCATTGTAAAGTTACTATTTTCCCTTTGTAATTAAGAGTACTAATTAAATCCAGCAAATATACTTATCCTCCTCAAACTTTCAATGTATTCATTTTTCATGTCAGAATAAAGTCATGGTTTCTTATTTTACATAAGAGGTTATAATCTGTTGCTATCATTTATTTTGATGCTCATATTGTCTCAGATGTCACCAGTGGGAGACCTTCAGAGTTTTCATGTCTTTATGACATATCATCATTTTTCTTTGAGCACTTCTAGAATTACTATCTAGAATACCAAGATGCTCAGACTTATCTTGTACTTACCCTGCAGTCCTGGAATTAGCCATTTCTCCCAGGATCTTGATTCCATCTTGAAGAATGATATATAGAAATCAAAATCTGGGTGCTAGGTGTCACCCAACAAGGCTTAATTTATTATGTTATGTGTTGAAAAGCTATTCCCAGCTCCTATCAGTGGACAGAGCCAGGAACCATATGTACACATTTACATACACAGAGCGCACACACATACATACACACACAGATGCTCACACATGTTAATACATATGTATGTATAATATTACATACAAAATTCCATGGCTCAAAAAGATAGGTAGGTAGGTAGGTAGGTAGTTAGATAGACAGACAGACAGACAGATAGATGATAGATAGATAGATAGATAGATAGATAGATAGATAGACAGACAGACAGATGATAGTTAACTAAGATTTCATACTGTTACCTCTGAGTTGAATCAGTTATTCTAATCTTTCCCTTTTCATCTCTGTAATTCCCTTCTTCTGGAATCTCACTATCCTTAATAAATTTACACATCTGATCAGTCCCGAGTACGTGACCAATCTCTACAATTGCCACCTCACAGACATTCTCCTCATCTTATTCAGGTTCTAACACTCCACACTGGGGCTGCCACCCCACACATGGACACCATCCTCACCCTGCTCTGAATCTAACTCTTTGTTTCAGGCACCTTGAATGCTTTCTCCACTGCGCTCTGCCTCTGACACCTTGGATGGGCCATTCTGCTGTTGGCATGGCCTCCTTGCCCATTCAGGCTCTAACTTTCAGAACCAGGTTGCCTTCCTCAGCTGACACCCTCCTCACCATGCTCAGGTGTCGGCACATTGCCCTGGGTCACCCCACCAATGCACCCTAATAGGCTCTGTCTCCCTGCTCTGAGCCACTGTGGCTCCCCCGACCTCCAGCCACATGGCATCTACTTTGCTTTATTTCCGCTAACAGCATTAAGGCAAAATTGTCCAGGAAGAGGAAAATGAAGGGAAA